TTGATACAAAGGTTCAATATTATCTACAAAGAAAATCTTGTTTCAACTTTGACAGCTTACTTGGGGTAAACTAAATAATCAATGCTAGAGAAAATCCAGTCTTAATAATTTTTAATTGAAAGTTTAGTAACAGCAAATTGAAAGCTTAGTACAAAAAAAAACCGCAAATGCTACAAATTTAAATCAACGCACGTTTCAAACCTAAACATTTATATTTAATTTTTATTACTTATTTTTGTATATACTGATTGTGGTTCACGAGAAATTCAATAAAATCTAAAGAATACTTTTTGAGGCTTAATTAACTCTTTTTTTTCAACTCTGACAGCTTAAACCATTAATGCAAATATACATGAACTTATATAGTTTTAAAGTCTATATATTTATCTTTAAGTTCATTACTAATTGATGTATATACTTATTACTTTGCGAGGAATATGATAAAATCTAAAGACAATGCAATTTTCACTCTTAATTATTCTAAATTGATGTATAGACAGCTATAAAATCTAAAGACTGTTTTTCGAGCTTTTATGAAATATTTTTCATCTTTGACAGCTTACTACGAATGCTACAATAAGTAAACCTACACATTTTTAAAGTCTATACATTTATCTTTAATTTCATTCCTAATTGATGTAAATACTAGTTGTGGTTTTCGAGAAATATGATGAAATCTAAAAACTTAAAATAAATCGTTGTTTAAACTGTCAAAGTTTATAAATTTAATTAGTTCCGTAAACCCTGATAGACTATTTAATTAGAATTAAATTTTAACCGTTGCATATATGCACAACATTGTATTTGATTTAGTGTACAAACGGGCGTTACTTCAAGCCAATTAACTTGAAAATTAAACCATTTTCCGAGCGAAATATCAAGTGTCTCCGCGCGTCACCCTCGCCCCATCTGAGCAGGCGGCAGAAAGATGATATTAAGGAACCTATTAAACAGAGAAAGAGTGAGAAGGAGATGGTGAAAAAAAAATATGAGTGAAACGGTTAGGGTTGAAGCTTAAGGGTGAGGAGACGCAGTTTCTTTTATTTGCCGACGACATTTTTATACCCTCAGAAGTGCAATTTGTATTTAAATTTCCGACCGCCACACTCCGACCCTCCCCCACGACCGACCCCAATTGCTTTATATAATTTCAACACCAGAAATCCCCTTTTGAAATATACGTATCGTCGTGATCGCGAAATAAATCAATAGCACATTAAATACAAATTTCTTGCGCTCGAATAAACCCACCTCCATCTCCTCATCTATTCAATATTAGACTTATATATTATTACATAAAATAACTTTTTATATTACATCAAGAATTAATCAACTAATCGACCATTGAATAACACGTTTAATAACCGTGTTATTCGATACCGCAGATCCAACACAAACATTGTACCCTGTGTATTTATTTATATGTACATATGTTCTTAAATATACAAGACAGAGGCAAAGGTATTCTTTAAGAAACAAAATTGCAGTACCGTTTTATACAAGGATTGTTGACCGTGTTATACGAGTGTAACTCAAGTTCCGTGTTAGTCGAGGACTGCCAGTACTGAAACATTCATACAGATACTTTAATCATTTTATAATAAGGACGTAGCAAGCAATTTTGTAAACAAAAAAAGCTTACTCTAAGCACATTTTTTTGCTAAGATAGAAGATATTCCTGAACTCAGGATTTTTTTCTGAATATCTGAATCAAAGAGTGTTAAATAAACAATACATCTCCTTGGTTACAGTTACAGTTGCTAAGCACCGACATTTATTTGATTCCCTGGACACGAGGCAACTGTTTAGGACATTTCCGGGAATTCTCGGGACTCGAGAAATTAAAAAAAAGTCGTTCCATTAAACTAATTTTGAACTACTGAAAAAAACTTTGTAAGTTATAGTAAGTTTGTAAGTAAGTTTCTAAATTATGTAAATATTTGAAGAAAATTACAATACGTTTATCCCTCCGTTGTCCAAGTCTATCTAATAGTGCATTTTACATATGTTTTCCTAGGTCTTTATCGATTTTATTAACTTTTGTCATACAAAAATTTATAATTACCCCAATTAAGTTGAGTCTTTACGACTTAGAGCATCCACTGTTACTTTCAATTGAGTTATCTTCTAATGCGCCAGATGATATTAGAATATTTGTTTCTTTCCATAGTTCACCCATATTTATGATCAATTAATGCTTTTTTAACACAATTTTTAACCTTAGCAATTTCTCTACATATTTAGTGTCATTTTCAAGTTTTAATTTTCTCGAGTCTAGAACGAAAATTCCCGTGTATCGCAAATATATATTTTTCCAAAATTCCCGAGAAATTTGTTCCGGGAATTCTCGGTTCAGCAACACTAGTTACAGTATCGTATATATATGAAACATATTGTTGTTGTTACTAAACAATCGCAAAACATTAAAATATTGGAAAGTGCAAATCTGCGTAAATTCTATCCGTTTAACTTAATCTCGGTGATGTACCATTTAGTTTTATCATTTGAAGAATGCGCTATTTCCGCAACGTGGAAATTGAATTCGAATAATGAATTTAGCACGGTTCTCCTTCGATGGTTGTCGATCATGGTGCAAAGAAAGGATCGAGGGTGGCTCAAAATATATATATATAAATTGCGGTGCGAATGTTCAATGCGAGGAATGTGTGGTTGCGTGGGATGCGGGGGTTGGGTGGTACGGTTTGGCTGCACGGAGGGAAGGCGGTGGTGGTTTACAATTTTCAATTGGAAGCCGCCACCGCCTCTGCTGCGTTCTCACTTGCCACCTTCCGAGAGAGAGATATTAGCGTGCCGTATGAAAAGGCAGCTGGGGTGGAGAGAATTTCAAGAATTACAACCACTCGAATATAAGAGAGACTACTTCCTCTCTCACTTAAATTTAATTTCCTTCCGCAGAAAAGGCCCTCGCATATACATGCACTTCCCTTCAATCCTACCTACCCATTCCGAAAAAGGAAAGAACAGACACTTAATACGCGAAACATTAATCATATTGTATTTAATTTTGTTTCAATCAAGTAATCTGTTGACGAGTTTTCAGTCACTTTAAATTAAAAGTCTATTTTTACCAATATTATCACTGCTTTATCCATTACAAAGTATATCAATTAATTTAAAAAAAGTTATTTTTCATAATGATTTTTACGGAAGAAAACTTCAATTTGGATATTTTTTCATATTTATTTATTTTTTTCAAATATGAAGAATGAAGAAAACAAACACAAGCTGAAAGAGGAATCAAAGGAAATTTTGTAGAAATTTTGATTAATCCTATAGTTTGTAAAATGAAGACATCCGCCATCTAGTATGTAAATACTGAAAAGATACGAGATGCCATCTATTTGCAAGGAGTGACGATTGAAAGTCGTTCATCGCAGGACTGGTCAATACTTAAATTTAGAACGGAGCGGAACTAATAAAAAGTAGGTTAATTGGCGTTCAAATATAAGTTTATTTATAAAATCATTTTCCTCAAAATTATATACATATTTATATAGTCTTCCGATTCGAATGAACTACCGGATACCTATTGATTGCGCATCCTCTCTCTTTCAAGAGAAAACGAAAATTCATCAATTTCCCAAGAAAATAAAGAAAGAAAAGAAGAAAAAAACGAAAAAGTATCGCAGCGACTAACAAGCCTCCAAAGTAATATGCCATACTATGATATATATATATTAATAAAGAAAACACTTAAATACCTATTTTCTCGTGTATATATGTACCAAGATATATATATATGTATGTAACAAAAAATAAAGGTGTAAAAGTTAATATATAATCCTCGTAATCGAAAATAAATTCACTTTGCGCACAAATGTATAAACCGCGTTATATATTCTCTCTCTCTATATATATAAATATACATTTACAATTGTACATAAATAAATAAACAAACAAAAAAAATTAAAACGTTACGCAATAAACAAGGGTTTCAATAATATAGATATATGTATATGTATATATTCATAAATTCACAAAACTCTATATATATATATAGAACGGTTTACACATTGCGGGGTGGTTTTGTTGATGTTGTTAAAAATTAATTAATTAATTTAAAAAAATGAAACACAAAATCGAAAACGGAACAATTAAATCGGGAAACAAAACTTGAGAAGTGAAAACAAATAAAACATTATCTAATTTAAATTTAGCTTCTTTTTTTTTTCTCTTTACATTATCAAATATAAAATATAATCTATATTCTTACTTGTTACAAACTCCTACACTGCGCGTCGTCATAATATAATTGAAAACAGAATTAGAAATGAAGGAAACGAAAGAAACGTCACGAAACGAACGAACGACAAATAATAACCGTAGTAGTCATGAATATTTAATTATAGTCGTAATTAATAATTGGTGAAGATGTTTTCTTTTATATCCGTGAGAGGAACCGAAGGGGAAAAATACCAACGAGAATATTTTTGCTTTTTTTTTCTTTTGTACTTGAAACTTGCAGTAGAGAATTTGTGTGTGTCTGTAAATTTCTTTTACCATTATGTTTTTCCTTATTTTTGTTTTTCATGCATTCACATAAAATAAAACATCTCCCGAGGAAAATAATATAAAAAAAAATATATTTAATTATGTTGATATAAGCTGAAACAAAGGAAAAAGCTATTAATACACATTGCACTTACTATCATTTTCGAGAAACATATTAACACAACGCACGACTCGGTTCTCTGATGAATGAGATCCATTCAAATTACCCATTGTTTGTTATATTAAAGTAAACTTGAAAATGAAAATATTGGCGTTAAAGTTTTATTAATATATACGATGATTAAAGCTAACGAAAGGTAACACATTTCTACTTTTTATTTACTTTACTTAGACGATATAGTAAAGTCTCAGAACACAGTTGATCTTATAAATCGTATCTATATATGTTTTTGTGTATATTAATGTAATATAAAAACCAAAAATATGTTCATAACCCAATTTTTAAAAATCAATATACATCTAATAATAAGGAATATATGGCGATTTGTTAGTATACAATAAATGCAAGTAACCTACATGAAAGGCTACAATTCTAAGAAACAGAACTGATACTTACTGATTTGACAGTAGTCTTGATGTAGTCCTTTTTATGAGTGAGATCGAAATCAGGATAATGCGCATAAACTTGTTTACACACTGTTTTCATCGTGATCTCCTCCAAATTGGCGCCTTCTAAAATTTCTTTAACATAGGTCTTGATTTCCTCGTCCTGTAATTATAAGTAGTCAATTAGTATTAATAGGAAAATTGATGATGCATTGAGTGATTTACAGATGGAGGTTGTGGCGCTTTCGCCGTCTTCTTAACCAAAGGCTCATCCTCTGAGGAGCTGCCTTCTTCTTCGTGAGCGCTCTCCTCTTCTTCCTCAGAGGACTGCTGCGCCTTCTTGCGACCCCTTTTAGCAGGCGTCTTCTTCTTGGGCGTCGCTGCAGCTGGAGAAGCAGCAGGTTTACGTCCTCTTCCCCTACCAGGTCCAGCTTTAGGTTTCACTTTACTATTAATCATCTTCTTTTTCTTATTTTTAGGACCATCCTACACAAACACAACCAAATTATAATCGCACTGCAAATATGAAATTATAAAACACTTACATCGCTATCGTCGGAACTGTTCTGACTGTCGACCTCGCTGGCGTCATCCTCCTCGCTGTCGTCCTTTTTCTTACGGCCAACGCGTTTACGCTTTACCACAGGTCGCTCCTCCTCGCTGGCATCGGAAGGTTTGAACTCTTCGTCGCTTTCACTAGAGGTCTCGTCCTTAAGATTAGCTCGCTTACCGGCATTACGACGTGCCGGTTTTCGTGTGGTTTTCTCATCACTGGAATAAGACTCATCGTGCGAAGAATAACCTCTATTGTTAGCTTTAACGGCAGCAGTCCTTTTCGGTCTTCCACCGCCCACCGCTTTACCAGAATCCTTAGGTTCTATCAAAAAATCCAGAATGCGTTCGGAGACTTCATCCTTGTTACCCTTTTTCTCCAGATCGAGCATCTCGCTGACAATCCGCAACTGTTTCAACTCGAATTTCTCAATGGCAGTCAATTTCTTTTTGTACTCGTCAGAATCGTGCACAAAATCAAAACCATTGAACTTCCTAATGTTTTTCTTGAGCTGCAAAGTTTTGCCTGGTGCCTTGAACAGCAACTTATGCAGTAGTTTAAGGTCATCATTTTTAAAGCGGGATATTGAAGCATGTATTCTTGGTATTTCTCCGAGCTGAGTACCAGACCCTTCCGGAATTTCAATTTTTCCCTAAAATTATAAAAAGATTATGATTAAATGATGCTTATGTTTAATTAATGTTGAGACTTACATCTTTATTTTCATCATTGTTTTTCTGGTTGCTTTTCTTGTCTTTAGCAGTGTTCTTTTCGGGACTACTTTCCTCTGTTTTATCATTGGAATCGTCATCTTTGTCACTATCTTCTGGGTCCTCCGACTCAGGCTCATCCTTGGATTCATTTTTATCTACTTTCTTTTCATCCTTCTCTTCCTTCTTGGATTCCTCTACCTTGTCATTGGCCTTCTCCTCCTTTGGAGCTGGTTCCTTCTTGTCCTCTTCCTTTTCAATTGTTTTTGTTTCCTCTGGCTTGGGGTCTTGGTCAGGCTTGTCAGGGGCTTCAGTCGCCTCCTCAGCTTTCACAGCCTCCGCGGGCTGCAAATGTAAACGATTTTAGGAACAATCCTCGCACAATAATCATGATCGGTCGCAGCATACCGAGATGTTTTGTTTATTGCTAAAAGTTTTCCCGCTTTTTCCGACTATCAACATACCGGCCATATTGAATATGCACTTGGAAACATGTTGTTTATCGGGCGATTATCGATATTTTACAGATCGGGAAACGGCGTTTCGGGACGCCGCAGAAGGCACGCATAGCGAAACACCGATTCCTCAATAGAAAACAATTGTAATTTACCTCTGCCGTTGGATTTTTCCCATTTTCACCCTCACTCGACATTTCGGAGCTGTGTTGCTGCGTACCGCGTCGAGAAATGTCCAATGAAAAATCACACGCATTGCATAGTCGCTCAGTCATATGCCTAAATATCCTCGACTACACACCATTACCAACATTCAGCTGGTCTACTGCATACGCTTACAATTCTTTTTCAAACCAAATCCCCTAACATATCCTCTGCGATCAATCCCAGCTCCAAATTTTCAATTAATCCATGCTCTGATCAAAACGCAAATCATTGCATAATAGTTTGTTGTATTTATTTATAGGAATATTACATTAAATTGTTACCGACACATGGCGACATCTGTCAGAAGAAGTCCCAAATCCTCGACAATGGACGCGCAACGGCATCATAATATATATATACACACACATAAACAGCAACAATTACGTAACAGTCGTAACGATATGATAATGAGAAAATGATTGCGTATTTTCTACATGTATAATCGTCATGCGAATATACGAATTGGATTTCTCTTTAACCCATTCAATATCAAAATTTTAATTATCTATCGCATTTCAAAATAAACAAACATTATTATTTATAACTATATACATGTCCCCTTAAACTTCGTTTTTATAATGTATTAATATGGAAATCGCTGTAAAATACTTTGCATATTAATGAGTAAGATTCATTAATTTGGCCATACAAACCGTTATACTGTTATACAACTTATAGCGATTAGAAGATTCATTTCATTATTCAAAAAAACATATTTTTCATCTATGTCTATTTACAATCTATCGTTAAAGTTAATTGAGTAGACTTATTGTTTTATAAATTTTATATAATTACGTAAGAATAAATTGTGTTTGATAGTCTAGTAAGTAAACGTAATTACCACAAAGCGTTTTAATTGTATAATCTTCCTTAGAATATAACGAAGATTAATTTCAACAAAAACATATAAATCTCAAAAGAATTTGGACATTTTTTTCTTAATCAAATATAATTAACTGATAAATAATAACCCTCTAATCTATTTTGTAAGTCAAATTTTGCAAAGATAAAAATTGAACGTTAAATGTAATATTTTCAAAATGCGAAAAGAGGATAACTTAATAGTATCACATTTAAATAATTTATAACAAATTAATTAATAACAAACATGTATTTTATTTAGTACAAAATCTCTTCCTTTTAACAAATAAAGATAGTCTAATTAACTTTTTGTTGAAGCGAATACTGTTTAATAATAGTTCTTGCCACATCGACGTGTCCTAGAAATAAATCAAATTTGTTAATTCTGTATGTGACACATCTACCATGGACGTGTACAGTTAATACTGCGGATGGTCATGGCTTCCGTTGTTCTTCAACTAACCTAATTGCAATTCTATGTAGAGGACGAGCATCACAATGTGAGCAGGAACGCGACTCTCGTTGTTACGGTTCTGCCAAATCTGCTTGAGCAGGGCTTGTGCCTGATCAAATTGTCCGCGGATGGTCTTAACCACAGCTATATTGTAATGCATCACAGCCATTGCACCGTTCAGAGTGTTCGGGAACCATTCTTAAAATGAAAGAAAAAAGAAAATTTAAAAAGTTAAATATATATGCAGAACTCACTTGCAGGGGGGCTGCTTTTAATCGCGCACTCCTCTGCGCTTTGATCCATATCCAGAGAGATGTCCCTCAAGTTTTCTGGATTCAGATGGTCTAAAGCATCTGATAGTTTATCAAGAAGGACAAGACTCTCAGCAGCATATAAGTGAGCCAACATCCTGTAAATGTCAAATAACTGATTACCAATGTTGTATTATAAAGAACAAAATCTAGTTGATTTCATTACTGTTAAGATTCATGACTCGAGTAACGCTTTTCGATATTATTACCTGTGAGCCCCTGATAACTTAGGTTGCGATAATAATTCCTTTGAATGTTCCAATGCGACGATGTAATCGCCTAGGCATATGGAAACGTAGGAACTGGCAGCTAAAATAGCGTTCCTGAGTTCGTCAATAGATTTTAAGTTTAGAGGACTGGATGGTGACGGGCCAGGATTGGATGTTAATTGTGGAGAGACTCCTGGACTTAGCAGCAAAGGAACCGGCGAGGAATTCTCGCTGGAAGGTAAAAGGGTTTTGGCGTTTCTTAAGCATAAACTGGCAAATTCCAAGGTAGCTATCGGAACGGCATAGCTCTGGCTCTCACTACTGCAAATACAGAGATTTAATAACAATCGTTGTTTGTAATATGGAAAGATTACCTAAACTTTTTGTCGGTGGTGATGTTCGTTGTAAGTACAATCTTCTGATTTTCTTTCGAACCAACGATTTGTATCACGAGATCCCTATGCTTCTTGTACATATCGAAATCAATGGCGTTGCTCTCCTTGTGAACTTGGATGCAACACTCCGCTATCCGCAGCCAGAGTCGCGAATTTCTGTGGTACCTTTTAACAGCAATGATGAAACATTCGAAGGCCTGAGCGGCTTTTCCTGCGTGCAGCATGGATATCCCGAGGTTATACATTAACTCATGGTATTTAGAGCTACCATTCACAAACAACGTAGTTTCTCCTAAAAAGCAAGTTATTTAATAACCCATCAAAACAAAAGCAAACAGAGCACACCTTTCAACTTAGAATTAGTGTAAATCTCTTCTTTGATAGCCTGTTGATAGAAATGACAGGCCATATTTGGTTTTCCCATTGCGTGGTGTATTATACCCATATTATTGTAATACATTATAATGGAAGATTCCCCAGAAGTCCTACAAATCATCATATAAATACAAACATTCATATTCATCACACATCAACTCACAATTTGATGCTGTCTTTAGGCATAGACTCTAACAAATTCATAGCCACTTGAAAACTACCTTCCAAATATGCTTTATTTGCCATTAAAAACACAACTTCTACATTCTAAAATTAAATTATAAAATTATTTAATTCTTATAGTTTATATTTATATATTAATTTTATTTAAGTTCAACTTACCCCCTTTTGATTCTGATACAAGAGTTGCAAATCAGATCCAACAGAAGCTGTTGAATGCTTGAGAATATTGCACTTGATCCTATACATATCCAAGCATTTCAAGTATGTCTCTGTGCCCTTTGAAAGAGGTTTCTTTTCTTTCTCTATGGGTTTTTCATTTACTGCATGATTATGAAGGTATGTGATTAAGTTGCTGGCCTTATCAACAAGTTTCACACATAAATGCAGTTCAACCAAGAGAAGTCCAACTTGCCTACTCAAAGCCTCATCTTAAATAAAAGAAAATATGAAATAATATACTTAATAGATGTGGCACATTATACCCATCGGCTCAATAAATTTATACACTTTATCCATAATCTGAAGTGCATAGGAGTAATGCTTCTGATGGTATGCCAATACTGCCAGATTGTAATATGCCACACAATGGTCAATATCATCTAATTTGTCAGGGACCAATTGAAACTGATTTAGAAGGTTGTTCATGTTCCTTTGGAACTGATCAGTTTTCTTCAAATCACTCTTGTGATATTCTGCCACATATTTGTTGTGCAGCACTTTGAAGTCCTGACCCATATCCAATTTGTTAATATTTTGCAAACAGGCTGCATAATTCTTCCTGAAATAATAGTATTCGATTATAACCAATAAACTCTAACTAGTTAGGGCTTACTGTTTGAATTCTTCTAAGGCATTTCTCGCCAGATCCCTGTCCTGCTCAGAAATTGGTACAATAGTCTTCTCAAATTCTTCTTTGTTGCTCATCTTATCTTTATTTAACCTTCTCGATTTTGATGTATTTTATATTTACATTCTCTATAATGTAGATAACCCAATTAACACTTGTAAAAGGCCTCTATATAGCGGCATATTTTGGCAATTGAAGTGGCGCCTCTACAGAGTTACCATCAAAGCTTAAACCCAAACAGCTACATAATCTCAATATAATTAATTTTGACCTGTTTTTGCTTATTATTCAAGATTTAATCATTGACATTACATTTATTTAATTGAAAGGTGTATTTCATATAAATATGTAGCGTTATAATACTTATTATTCAGTACTTCTTAATGCGCAGATTAAAATGTGATATTTATCTAATACTCAATAAATTTATATTGTACTACACTTTGATCCAGTTATGAATATTAGTTCTCATTTTTATTAAAGAATTAATTAAAATAAAAGAGATTTATATCAATTTATTTATTGATATAAATCTCTCCGGCCCTATTTCTACCCCTTTTGGGTTTAACAGCCGCCACAATTTTTTTTTATTAAAGAATAAATTGTTTTTTAGAATGTTTAATAAAAAATAATATATTAATTCCAAGTTTGTTTGTTACATTTTTTCAACATTAACATGTTATTTTCATAGTATATTGGCAAAGATTTATAAAAAAAAATATATTTTAAAGTTGGCAACATTTATTGTCAAAACCTATAAACATTGATGTACTCAAAAAAATAAATATTCAAACAGTCACAGTTGCAGTTATTTTTGTGAATAGTTGAGTTTAGAGAAACGTGAAGATGAAAGCGATGGCTAATCATTATGTTGTAACCGCACACAAACCCACTTCTGTAACTGCTTGTGTTACAGGTGATTAATTTTTCTCTCTATGGTGGAGCACACAATGTATCTAACCTATAATGATATTTTACAGGAAATTTCACATCACCAACCGATTTGAACCTAATTGTTGCCAAGAATTCGCGACTAGAGATATATCTGGTAACACCTGAAGGGCTAAGGCCACTGAAGGATATTGGACTTTATGGAAAAATTGCAGTCATGAAGCTATTCAGACCTGAAGTATGTTTCATTCATTTGGTTTATATTTTTGTTATTTAACAATTTTCTTTGCAGCATGAGAAAAAAGATTTACTATTCCTGGTTACACTAAGATATGATGCAATGATCCTTGAATGTATCAGTGATGGAGATAATTTAGAGATTCTAACAAAGGCACATGGCAATGTTGCAGATTGCATAGGAAAACCTTCTGATACTGGTATTCTAGCTGTAATTGATCCTAAAGCAAGAGTTATTGGTTTGAGGCTCTACGATGGTCTCTTCAAAATTATACCACTGGATAAAGAAAATTGTGAACTCAAAGCTTCAAGTATAAGGTTGTTAATATTATTTGTTTATTTTCTTTGAGTGTAATTTAACACAAGCAATTATTGTAGAATGGACGAGTTATTAGTACATGATGTTGAGTTCTTACATGGATGTACAAATCCCACAATAATTCTGATTCACCAGGACGTAAACGGGAGGCATGTGAAGACTCATGAGATATCGTTAAGAGATAAAGAATTTGTGAAGACGCCTTGGAAACAAGATAATGTAGAAACGGAGGCGAGTATGATTATACCTGTTCCGTCTCCGCTATGTGGAGCTATCATTATCGGGCAGGAGAGTATTCTATACCATGACGGAGTCACATCCATTGCTGTTGCACCACCAGTTATAAAGGTAAGTTTTTTTTTTAATCTAAGATAATTCCATTATTAATTTATTTCTCTTTTTTATTGCAATCAATAGCAAAGCACTATTACTTGCTATGCGAAAGTTGATCGTAGCGGTCTAAGGTATTTGCTGGGAGATATGGCTGGACATCTTTATATGCTGTTCTTGGACGTGGAAAGTCGCGGTGATGGTGGTGACGTTGTAAGAGATCTAAAGGTTGAGCTCTTGGGTAACTACAGTTCATAGGTGATTTTTGTAACAGCTTAGCACTTCAAGTGCGTTGTCTTTGCAGGTGAAATATCTATACCAGAGTGCATTACATATTTGGACAATGGTGTATTATATATTGGATCGCGCCTAGGAGATTCGCAACTGGTGAAGCTGAATTCGAAAGCGGATGATACAGGTTCTTACGTTAATCTGATGGAGTCGTTCACAAACTTGGCACCGATTACGGATATGTGTGTGGTAGATTTAGAGAGACAGGGCCAGGGCCAGTTAGTCACGTGCTCTGGAGCTTTCAAGGAAGGATCATTGAGGATAATCCGTAATGGAATCGGTATACAGGAGCACGCTTCCATCGATTTGCCTGGCATAAAAGGAATGTGGGCCTTAAACATTGCCTCCGGTGGTAAATTTGATAATACTATTGTGCTCTCGTTCGTCGGACAGACCCGCATCTTAAGTTTGAATGGGGAAGAAGTCGAAGAAACTGATATTGCAGGATTCACATCTGATCAGCAGACATTCTTCTGCGGTAACGTGGTTCACGAACAAATTGTTCAGATTACGCCGTCTTCTGCACGTTTGATTTCTGCGAAAACCAAAAACTTATTGGCTGAATGGAAACCGCCTAACGATAAGAATATCAGCGTGGTCGCCTGTAACATGGAGCAAATAGTTATGTCCACCGGATCAGAATTGTATTACATCGAAATACATCCAGACGAATTGATTTTAAAGGGGTAAGTTTCCATAAAATACTTATAAAGCAAATTTAAACAACTATAAATGAACATTTTGTAGAACTACTACTCTGGAAGTTGAGGTAGCTTGCTTGGATATAAGTCCATTGGGTGAAGGAATAACACGGACTGATTGGGTGGCAGTTGGTTTATGGACTGATATATCGGCGAGGATACTCCGCTTACCGCAACTAGAAGAAGTTGCTAAGGATAATTTGGGAGGAGGTAACTATATTATACGAATAATAATTTAAAATTGTAAAACATGGAAATTTGTTTCTGCGTAGAAATTATACCTCGATCTGTGCTAATGACGACATTCGAAAATAACAATTATCTTTTATGCGCACTCGGCGATGGTTCGATGTTTTACTTCATATTGAACATCGAGTCCGGATCATTGACTGAGAAGAAGAAGGTGACACTGGGAACGCAGCCGACTGTCCTAAGAGCCTTCCGCTCGCTCAATTCCACCAACGTTTTTGCTTGTTCCGATAGACCGACAGTCATATACTCTTCAAATCACAAGCTCGTATTCTCTAATGTGAACATGAAAGAAGTAAACCACATGTGCAGTTTAAATGCTGAAGCTTATCCAGACAGGTAATTCAAATAATAGGTTTGCTGTGTTTCAGACGTATTAATATTGTGCGTTTCTTTGTTTATGCAGTTTGGCTTTAGCTACTGATAGTTCGGTAACGATTGGTACTATTGATGAAATTCAAAAATTACATATAAGAACTGTACCGCTTCAGGAATCGCCCAGGCGTATAGCCTATCAGGAACAATCACAAGTAATAATATTGATTTGTATGTTGTGAATTTTGGATTTAATTATTTATTATTTGTAGTCGTTCGGAGTGCTTTCGGTACGCATGGACATTCAGGATGCAACAGGTTGCAATCCTTCGAGGGCAAGTGCCAGCACCATGGCGCAATCGGTGACCGTACCTAGTAGTGTCGGGACTCTTACATCCGGAAAGTCCGGTGCCAGCGGTCTTATAGCTGCTGCTGAATATGGCCAGGAAGTGGAAGTACACAGTCTACTGATTATCGATCAAAACACTTTCGAAGTCCTCCACGCATATCAATTGATGCAACAGGAGTACGCTATGTCCTTAATTTCTTGCAGATTAGGAGAGGAAACGTATTATGTTGTTGGTACGGCAATGCTGAATCCCGAAGAGTCCGAGCCGAAACAGGGTAGGCTGTTGATGTTCCAGTTAGCTGATAACAAACTTACCTTGGTCTCTGATAAAGAGATCAAAGGATCCTGCTACTCTTTAGCCGAGTTCAATGGGAAGCTACTGGCTAGCATAAATAGCACCGTGCGATTGTTCGAGTGGACCGCAGAGAAAGAGTTGCGCTTGGAGTGCTCTCACTTCAATAATATTATTTCTCTATACTTGAAAACGAAGGGCGATTTTATCTTGGTCGGTGATTTGATGCGCAGCATGACACTTTTGCAATACAAAACGATGGAGGGCAGTTTTGAGGAAATCGCTCGCGACTACAACCCCAACTGGATGACCTCAATTGAAATATTAGATGACGAGGTCTTCCTTGGAGCTGAAAACAATTTTAATCTTTTTGTTTGCCAGAAGGACAGTGCTGCACCGACCGACGATGAACGGTCTCAAATGCAAGTTGTTGGTCAAATACATGTCGGTGATATGATCAACGTCTTTCGTCATGGTTCGTTAGTCATGCAAAACCTGGGGGAAACATCTACACCCACATCAGGTTGCGTGCTTTTTGGAACAGTGGGAGGAGCAATTGGTAATTTTAGATTTGTACCAAACACGAATATCATTGAACTAACCGATCGTGAACTTCTTATTTCCAGGCTTAGTGTCGCAAATCTCTGCTGATTTCTACGATTTTCTTTACGAGCTTCAAAATAAATTATCGGTTGTTATAAAGTCTGTAGGCAAAATTGAACATTCACATTGGAGATCGTTCCACACCGATATCAAAACGGAACCGTGCGAGGGATTCATCGATGGTGACTTAATCGAAAGCTTCTTGGATCTGTCTATTGATAAGATGAAGGAGGTTGCTAACGGTTTGCAGGTAAACTATAAAGCAAAGCTCATTTAAGTCATTTTCTTTTACAATAACCCTTTTATCCTTTCAGATCACCGGCGAAGGTGGAATGAAACAGGAGTGCACAGTCGACGACCTAGTGAAAATGGTTGAAGATCTTACAAGAATCCATTAGCTATACAAGGGCCTACCGCTTTCTATACTTTTAAAAGACACTTTATTTACGATTGGTACGATTATATAATCAGCTCTGTAGGATAACCGATCGTTGAGTTTTACTTCATGATGTTGGTTCAAAAAAAATTGTGTTATATTATCTGATTATTCAAATATGATCTTCGATGTTTCTTATTATATTGTATAACTAAGGAGTTTTTGAATATCTTTCTATTTTATGGGATGCTCTGTTTTTTTCTATTTATTTAAGTTTAAGAGACAAATTATCTGTGAAACCTTATAGAAGTATAAATATATATATATATAAATGTATTATTAAAGGCAAAAAACAATATGTACAAAATTTAATGACTTTAATTCGTAAAATAAAAAGAAAAGATAACCTATTATTTGTATTGTTACACAGTAGTTTATAAAATACGTGAAAATAGTCAAATTATCTGATAATTTTGACAATTTAACTAAGTTAAGCACACGTTTTGATGGATTGAATAAAAAAGAATTTAATCTCGTAGTCTAGATTCGAAAGTACTGAACTTAAGTTACTTAATTAACTGATAATCAAACTATCTAGACAAACTGAAAAAATATCAAAAATGTAGCGAAAACTGCAATTGTAATGTGTCAAGTTGTTATCTAAATGTTGCAATATATTATCACGTCCTTCGTTTTCACGACATTGCGAACAGTTAATAATCACTGGTGATTCATGTATTCTCAATATCGAAGTTATTTTTAAATTTCAAAACATACTTATACTTAACGAAATAATCGTTAAAGTTAAATAACTAGAGTCATTAGTATATACTGGTAATTAGAAATAATTAAAGAATTGAATGAGATTGAGATAACTGATCTTCTAATTTACGTAAAAAAAACAAACTGCTTGGACAATCCATGATATAAATATAGATTTTATGTTTGTATTGTGATCACAACCTACTTATTACATATGAACTAAACTCAAAAATTACTGCTTTCAATATGGAGATGTATAGAATATCGAAAGTTTTGTGCTAAAAACTAATGTTTTATTTAAAATCTTTGTGACAAAAACCGTAAATGAATGATTTTAAACGAATTAGGTCAAGTAATTAATTAAATTCTATCATCGAAATTGCGTTAAATTCTCTTATAGATAATATTTAAGCAGTTGGAAATGTTAGTCTTCAAGGATCAAAAACGAAATTTGCTGATAATAGAATATGTATAGCCTTTTTTTTGTATATTTCGCCTAATATTCACTCCAGTTCCCAGTTAAATCTAATATGTTTTGAGTTAGTGTTTTCAAGCATCGAGGGTAAGGTGAAGGTGAGTGTCTTTCTTCTCAATTCACTTATTCAACGCTGTTTTCTTCCTGTTTACTCTCAATATGTTTTTAATTCTTAATATATTTTACCCTTTACATTTATAGATATGCTATCATTTCGTGCGTTGAGATTATTACGTTTAAATATCTACTGAATATCAACAACAATGAATTATGCGTGTATTACTCGTGTATCAAATATAATTTGTTTATATTTCAAACAAATTATATTTGATACACGAGTTTCTAATGTCTTATATAGTTTATTCAATCAACATCTTTGCCAATTAATAATATGTTTTTTTTTTATTTATTTTGTACTAAGAAATAAGGTTCTGTCTTTGTTGAGTTTTGTAAATGGAACAAATATTTTTATTTATATTAATTATTTACACATTTTTATTAGCACTAATTTAGGCCAAAGGGTTAACTACCGACGTTTTTTGAGCCATTACAATTTGTTAATCATATGAAATCTTCGGTTTTACAGTTAATATACTAATCATTAATCGAATAATCTTAGTAAATGTGAACATAAACCGTAAATTATAGGAAAACGCAAGGCAAGAGATGGAAGTTGTTCTTATTCCTTTCATTGGATTACCATGATAATACTAAATTTTATTTCGATAAGTCATTGATACAGATATTGATAGGTGATTAATCTACTTTATCTGACCCTACTGTAGAACTGTATTTGTATTGAAATCCTTCTACTTTTTTACCGTTCACCGTGAATTAGATGTGACCCTGAGCGACAATTCATCATCATCGCCACCACCACAACATTCAGGTTCTAAATCCTACTTAGTACACATTGCGCTGCTCAAGTAAACTGCGCCAGTCGCTCGTAATATTTTCAAAATAAAAAAACAAAAACAATTGTACGTGAACGTAATCGTGATGTGCAATCTCCAACTTTTCGTGTCATAATTGGAGCGTTACATTCGATGCAGCGAAATGGAAATATTACATCTGTAACGCAGTTTTGTTTGCTGTTTCCTTTTTCTTCCGGTGGTTACTAGGTAACAGCCAGTTAGAGTATTGATTTTGATCTGCGTTTTATGCAGGAATGACGAAATTCGAATCTCCGCCGCCGCGCGACTCGCTCACTTGTAATTGATTTTTTTTTAAATAGAAATAGGGAAAACCTTGAATTTGGATGATTACATTTATATAGCCTGTACATTTCTCTTTGTTGCTGTAGTATGCAAAAACGTTCATCGATGATGATGTAAACAGGAAATGCGATAAGGTTCAAAATGAACGCGGTGGGGTCGAACAAAAAAAAATAGAGTAGTTTATGTAATACTGGAGGCGCAGATGTGTTTTAGCCTCCGTCTTGTTTATTGAAGGATTTACGAAACGTTTACAAACGGCTTTCCTAAATTAGACTTTGTTTTCTGCGCTCTGTGCACTTTGCGTTCGCCTCATTTATTAATATCCTCGCAGACTAATGCGTTTATGATAATCATCTGAGAGTTTCGACGGTGATTGTTTAGATTTTTGAAAACTATACGAGTCTTAATGTTACGTTCTTTGTTTCGATAGCCGGAAAGTCTATGAGACGTGAAGTCATCAGTCGTAAATATCAATAATTTATATACGGTAACAGAATTGCATTGCATTGTTCGAAGCGGGAAAAACTGAATCATTCCTTTGCGGACTTTTTCTTTGATCGCAGGAAAACCAAAATGTGTCCGACGTTGAACTTGTCCCGATATTGCATCGAGGTTCCCATTTTTATGGTGTTTTTTGCGGCATACATATCAGGTGAGTTTCTTGTTTACAATTTTGTTCGCGCTCTTGAAAAATACAAATGTTTGTTTGTTTTTCTTCTGCAGACTCGATCAACACGAATTTCGTGATCTATCGCACTTGCACCGTGATATTGGGCTACAGCGAGTCGAACTGCTCGAAATTGGGTGAGAGGTATTTGGATAATGCTACCCATGAACTGCTTGAAGAAGTCCAGCCTGAAGCGAACACGATTTTGATGAGCAACTCGTTGCTCTCTTCCATTATCCCTTCTTTGATCTGTCTGTTCGTAGGGCCATGGTCCGATACGCACGGAAGGAAATCGTCCGTCATTGTCACTACAGCAGGTATTCAGAACGCTTTTACTTACACCATGATTATGCGTAATTCAAAATAATGGTAACAATAGAACTTCGTGATGAAATTCCCGTTAATATAACAAAAACAAAATATTTTAAATATTCTAATAATAATATTTATTGCAATAATAAAAATAGTAACATTCACAGTATGATTCATTGGAAGAATTGTTTAGGAATGGCCGTGGCGTACTCGATTAAACTAGCGATAAGCTTAGTGCCGTGGACGAATCCTTGGTTCCTGCTCTTGAGTTCCATTCCAATGATATTCACCGGAGGATTTCCGACCTTCCTAATGATATGCATGTGTTACGCAACGGATACCAGCACGACCGAAAGCAGAGGCATGAGGTGAAGTGATTTCCATGCGGATACAGAAGTTGCTTGATTTCCTTTGTTTTCTTTCTACACGTAGGATGGCCATTTTTGAAGTTTCTATGGCTTTAGGTATTTTCATTGGAACGATCACCTCTTCGTACATTTACCACGCGACCAGCTACACAGTCGTCTTCCTGATAAGCACGGTATCCTATATGTTCGCCTTCATTTTCACCATCGCTTTCGTGAAAGAAACGATCGTGAACATAAGCGAAATTGAGGTAGAAGAGAAATACAATTTTATTGGATGATATCAATGAATATAATTTTCAGGATTCCCCAAGTTTATTCTCGTTGCATCACATAAAACACATGATCCAGACCACCATAAAGGTGCGGGATGGTTATAAGAAACCGATGCTGTTGCTGTGCATAGCTTCGCTCTGCTTGTACATCTTCGCGATAAACGACGGAAGTCTGATGTACATGTACTTAATAGATAAATTACAGTGGTCGATGGAGTCGTTCACGATATTCTCGAGCGTGCACTCTATCTTCTTCATAGTCGGTTCCATCCTAGGAGTTTATCTATTACACAAAATTCTCAAGATCGCCGAAACGTCCATCCTCTTGGTTTCATTCGTATTCATGATGGTATCTCAAATCATCATCAGCTTTGCCACCGATACTTGGCACATCTACCTCGGTAACTTGAGTAATTAACTCATATATCAACGCAATACTTACGTTATTCTTATAGCTGCCGTTATGAGGACTCCTGGAGGTATGCTCAGTCCGATGCTGAGAACCTTAATCTCCAAAATCGTGGGCACCGATGAAGTCGGCAAGATCTTTTCCTTTGCAGTTGCCCTCGAGAGCTTCACCACCATCGTTGGAACTCCGCTTTACACTGCGATCTACAACAGGACGTTGCAATATTTCCCAGGTTGCTTCTCCCTCGTCGAAGGTGGCGTCTTCTTAATCGAGGTCATGATTATCATGTAATTAAACAATATCACGATGCTATTAAGCATTCAATTAATTCTTGCTTTCTCTCGTTTTCAGCATCATAATCACATTGAGAAGAAAGCAGCCTGGAAATGTTCCTTACAATGAAATAATCGTCAGCAATTGATGACGAAGTAATCTTATGATAATCTCAATTCTGTGATAGAATTATGTCCATATGTAGATATACGCACAAATTATCGTATATTTAGATGAATTTATTATATATTTTGTTATTTTAAAAAATCAATCTTGGAAATACTAATATTTTAAAAATGGTTTTTAGTATTGTGATCATAGATTTTATATTTTAATTTTTTTGTTATTGTGTACTCAAATAAATAAAATATGTTTTTATTCAACATTTCTTATAATTTGTCTCCACTATTCTGACTAAAAGAATTTTTCGTTGTGTTTAATCAATTTTAATAGTTAATAAAAATATAAATAAATATAAATAATAAGTTCAATGATTGTTATTGAAATTATTCATATTTCGAGATAAATATTGAAAACTTGTGAATTTAGTAAATAGATGTCTAAATCATTAGATTATAGTCAAGATATTATGAATCTTAATAATATTATTCATAAACAGTTCTATTTTTAGATAATAATTAAATATATATACTGTGGTTTTCATTTTTACCACAAATGTTTACAAATAATGTAAACGGATACGATAATAAATGGAATATCTCGAAGGACGCGCAATTTAACCAGAAACGAATCAAGCCACGCGGTTTTGAAACAATGGATTACGTGCGATTCTTAAAAACTAGTCAAGAAATGTTTACTCTGCGCATTTCACTTTTACTACTTTGTAATAGAATTCACTGAGAGAGAGAGAGAGAAAAATGTATTGGATTGGATATTGGGAATGTCACAATTCTTAAATCAATTTATTTATTCTCTATTGTCAAGCTACCGGATTATTTTTTTATCCGTCCCTATTGCTCTCCAAAACGAGCTACAGGATGTGCAATTATCAACTACTGATTTTCTTATAGCTTAATTAACAAAAGCAAGAGGTAATCTTAGCTGCGGCTAAATGTGGTAATATCTATAGAGGTTCAACTCAATTCGTTCTCGGCGTCTTGTATAAAGTGCAGAATGCGATTAGCCTCTCTTCTGCCCGTTTCGATTGCACCATGCACCGTGGAATAGTAATGGGAATGGGTGGCTTCTCCTGCGAATAAGACGGTTGGAACTCCTTGCACGTTTTTCAATGGTTCCGCAAGGATTTCGTTGCTGGATGGGTCCTTCATTCTGCGAGACGCGGTTGTTTGGAACGAGTATGTTCCGCGGAAGTTTTGATTTGCGTACCAATTGGTCCTGTATAGAGAAATATATTATATTTGAATATTAAAAAGTGATCGGTGAATATACCTGAGAATTTTATCCGGTTTTGTTATGTTGAATTTATGTCCGAGGAATTTATCCAGTGCGAAGTGGAGGCCATCTATTAATGTTTCATTCGAAGTTTTCTCGATTTCAGGAACCAAATCTCCGGTGATCCAAGCGGAAAGTGCGTTCGGATTCCTTTCCAATGGTAGTACAGACATGAAGTTCAGAAGCCACGATCTACCGTACTGGAAGAAAAAAAGCAATTAGGATTAGAAGAGAATAAAAACGTGTGTTTACTCTGGAAGGTCCTTTGGTGAATTCTGCGATGAGCATGTCTCGATGCTCGTGAGTCCAAACGAAGCTGTATCCGTTGAATTCCTCGGGCCACCAGCGTTTCTCAAAATGCATCAGAACCTTCATGACAGCCCCGATACCCAAATCTCGGATAGCCCGGACCTTGTGTCTGGGCAACGGGGGAGAAAACATCCTCCTATGTTTGTACTTCAAAACGCCAAGTGATGGTGTGAAGATCAGGTGTTTGGCAGTGTGAAAGGTACCGTCCGTGCAAGATACATTAACACCATCGTCCCAGCTGATCTTCTGTACAACCTTGTTCAGTTGAATCTTGGATTGGATCGGAAACGACGGATCGTAAACCCTAGGATGTTTCCGCATCAACACTTCCAACGCGGTCTTGTATCCAAAACCGTTCCAGTTCAGCGAAAGATCTCCTTCGCAATTCCTATAATCACTGTTGGCCGAAGTATCGAACCAAGAGAAGGCTCCCTCTGAGGACTGTACGTAGTGATGCATGAGGTCCAAGCTCAATAAGCAGATGTCGAGATCTTTCCCGGAGAACTTCTGCCTCGCGCTCTCATTATACCTATCATAATACAATAAAATTCAACAAAAAAATCTTTCACCAACTAAGATGATCTACCTTTTGATGAAATATTCTCCAACCGTGACGCCTTCCTCCTGCTTCTTATTGCCGTCCGGGCTGTAAATCTCCTCGAACAGCTCATGCATATCAGAGGTCAATTGATCTCCGACCACCTTCCTGTCCGACATGAACAGAGACGCTGAATAATTGCTAGATTGCAACACCCCCAAATGCTTCACCATCTCATAAACAACGTTATTCTTTTGCCCGTGGCACCATTCCGCGCCCATATCCACAACGGCATCTCCGAAGGGCACACTGTGCACCCTACCTCCAATTCTATCCTCCGCTTCCAATACAGTCACATCTATTCCTTGCGATAAGAGGGTCGTGGCGGCTGCAATTCCTGCAGGTCCTGCACCTACCACTATCACTTTAACACCTTCCGCATTCCCAAGAAAAACGCCAATCACCAATACCAGAACACCCAGCATTTTACTCGTGCAAAAAACAATCTATCTCGAATCAAGCGATGCTCGTTAATAAACAAATCGTTTGATTCTTTCGTGTCGAAAGTGTTTTTCAACTTAATTTATCGCAATCGCCTAACGATTATTACGTTTTTATCAATATTTCTGTAATAACAAATTCCTTATTTCATAAGAAGCGTGCGTTACTTTATCTGTTGATTAGTGAAATAATAAAAAAAAATAATAACTTGTTATGCAGTGCTGTTGCAGCCCGCTGGATCCGCGGGTTTGGCCAAATCGAACTGGATCAAGATAACCATGTAAGTCGTCGAAGCTCCAATCAGCTGCAAATACACACACACACACAAATTAATTAAAATTGTAATTATGTAAAACAATTATTCTTTAAATCAATCCAATTATTATGGACCAACTAATTACTAAAATATTTTCTAATAAAATTTAAATTAGGGCACTAAGCCTTGATCCAGTCCTGACTAAAATTGCTGATTTTATTTGACGTAGTTACTTATTTATTTATTTCATTGCACGTGCAGAAAAATGAAAATATAAATTAAAAATTGATATTAATATTAGACAAAAATACAAAATAATACGAAATCAAATGAAACGATAATTTGTTAGAAAAGAGGATGTTCGTCATCAATTCAATACAATTTAAAATTAGAAAGTCTAATTGTGTCTCAATTCGACAATCAAATGAGTAGTTTCTATTAAGATCATAGATCACTCGATTTTATCCTCATTCAAGATCTTGTAATTATATTCATAATAGAAATAGAATAGAAACCTATATTTGTTTTGATGTATTTTTCGACATCTTCTGTTCCTTCTGCTTTAAAGGGAGTGGAACTATGCAACTTAGCTCGCACTCCATGGTAGCCTTACGTAATTTATGTGTAATAGATAAATAAATTACATCATAACAATATAAAAACCGTTTGTCTATAGTCGCCTGTATCATGAAAATTTAATACGAAAACGTTAGTTCAATTCCAAAAAAAACAACAAAAAAATCCCAAAAAACAAATATAAAAATCAAGCAAATATATAAATTAAATCAGCAAATCGAAATAGAGTAATAATAGTAGTAAATATTTAAAGATTTTGCAAATAATTAAATAAAACTAAGTATTTTTTATGCTTAACCAGAAATACACAACTAAATATAACCGAGATACAAAGATATGTCCACTTTTCACAAATTTTCTTATCACAATTTGGAAGGCCTTGGATAGGTGAGTCATATAATAAGAGTTGTTATAGAATAAACACATAAATAAATATATTAAAAAAAACCTTGAGATTACAAATGTTTAATTTGCTCATACATTCCTCTTATTATAGATCCATGGAGGCTAGGAAAGGAATTACAGCCAAATGAATGAAAGTACAACAATGTATGAATACTCGCTTTATTCCCCAAGCATAGTTTGGATCCATTCAATTGCGAAATATGACGAAAATAAACGCTTTTCTTGTTAAAATTGAACCCAACAAACAAATTAAGATTGCTGTGAATGACAATATAATTGTAACATTGACAGAAGTCTTTCAAAAGAAACACTACTCCCATCCAAATTGAATATCGGCAATTACTTTATTGCCAACCCAGTACTTTCCAAAAAAATCAATAAAATGTGAAACACTGCGTATTACAAACAAATGGTTTTTGATAACAGACTTCATTGTTTAATTAATGTTGTGGGTAATCTTAAAATATGTGGGTGACTTCCAAACATAATTATGTTTGAGCTGTGGGGAGGCGACTTCTAATTTGTTTATGTGTCGCCAGATGCGGTTGACTCGTTATATCATAGCATCATACGACCCTATTCATTGTAAATGATATAACATTTTCATATTTGTTATTAAGCTCTGTGATTGTGTAAGGAGATGGCGTTACTATATCGGTTTGTTTTCAAACTTGAAGCATACTGCAAGTATTAACGAACAATACATACCGTGTACAATAATGTATAGTCCAGATTGAACATGTAGCATGCGTTGAAGCACAGATGCCGGTGCATCAATTGGAGAGAGAACGTCCTGAGCTGCAATTAAAAGTAGATTTTAATTAGCGGAGGAAATGTTCCGGCACTATGATTGCGAGTGCACGAGTTCATCCAAATGGAAAAAGAAGTTCTCTGCCGTCGACAGTATCCTTAATTGGAAAGCATATTGCTTTCGAAATTGCTCGTCGAGCTGGAAAACGATGAGAAAAATAACGTAACAAAGTGTCTGTCTCGAGCAGGAGCCATCCGCTCACGTTCCAGGAACGCAGCTGGAGGTAGTAGCAATTTCCATTGGACGAATATAGAAATACGTTTGTACAAATCCACGTCAATTTCAAGATCTCGTTAAAAAACGAGTTCAGGGAAATAATTGGAACTCGAGTTATCCGTAAACAAAAAAAAAACGAAAGCCGTGCAGAGTTTGTCAATAACTTCAGTGAAATATATTCCTAACAACACATTTATTCATCCAAATACTTAAAATATAATACAAAATTTTAATCAAAATAATATATAAATATGTTATAAATAGGAATTCCATTACCGGTATTTTTTTTACAATAAATACCGGTTCTTATTAAAAACTAATACTATATTGTTCATTGCCTCTCTGTACATTCTATAAAAGTATTGATTGTAGTGGTAGTAGTACTATCACACGAAATTTTCAATTTGAAAAAATATACCGGTAACTGGTTAACCGGTTTTTAATTAAAATATTTAGCGTTTACCTCGGTAATTTTGGATGCTGAATTATAAAGAATAAAAAAATAAGTCAAGTCGTAATTTTAATAAAAAAATAAGTCAAGATTACAATAGTATTATCAATAAATATTACTTCCTCTGTCCGAAAAAAGTTGCTACATTTCACATCGATTTTTGTCCGAAAATAGTTTCGTATGAAACAAAAAAATGAGGAATTACTGAACAAATTTTTGTTAAGGAAACATAGATAAATCATAGACACAACAGTTTAACACATTTTTAACTTTAATTTGTAAAAAAAACGCGTTTTCATCATAATCATTAAAGTCGTGCGTCGTCTTAATTTCTCATAGATCAACTATGGTTTTTCCGAAACTTGTAACTCCCTTAATTTCTTTTCTTTTTTTCAATCTGTCGTGTAATTTAGTGATTCTCAAACTTTTTGGTCTGCGACATACAAAGTTTCTGCGACCCCACCGAATAATGGGTATACGTAGAAAAATAACCAGAATTGACCTGTAATCTCCCACCTGTGGGTCGTGACCCACACTTTGAGAATCACTGGTGTAATGTACTTTTGGGAATTTTGGATTCATATGTCAATGTTCTTAATCTGCTTCTTTTGCAGATGGGAATTACCTTAGGTTAAACTAATTCATAAAGTATTATCTAATACAGATAATTTATCTTAAAATACGATACAAAGATTTAAAAATCACTGAATTTGCGCCATAATTATATTCATTTCATTTCAAGTGGTAAAAATCTATTTATTGATTAATATGACTAATACTATCACTATTTTAATACGTGCATCATTAGAGTATTGAATAACAAATAGCCAAAAAAAAAAGTTAGATAGCAAACAATATATTTGTTTTTTTATAAATGAAAACAATGATATTTCAATTTTATTTAATATACGTCTTAAATACGAACTGATTGCTCTGCAAATTATAAACAGTGTATTTTTCCATTTGTGGATGCAACAAAATTCCATGAACTGACATGTGATTACGTTACCAAACGTGCCTTTCATTAAACGAAAGAGCGGGAGAGGGAGCACTTTCGACAGGAAGGTAGCAGCTGGAGAACCTTTGATCCGCCTGGAAATTTCCTGAATACAAAGAACAACCCTCGTGCATAAAGAGCATCTGCAATTGTGGACAGATGTTCAAAACTCGAGAAAGCGTGGGAACCCTCATTTTATTACAATTCGCTTTATGAAAAATCTAGATCGTACATATTCGCAGACACAGCATATAATATTTATTTATTAATTGCTGAAACTAATTAATTTTAATTACTACTCACACGCAACATATTATTATTATTATTCGAGTTTATTTCTAGAACTGTTTACGTATCTGTAACTAACATGATACGATTCAAACGTACGAAATTTATTTTTATACATCAATTTATAGAATAAGCGGTAGGACATGCAATTGCCATTATTTTTATTATTATAAAGCTCCTAACATTAAATAGATGTTTATTACATGGACAAACAACGTAGTTAGCCTTGTGATTAAAAAAACGAGTTTTTTAGAAGAGCAAAGTTGCTTCCACGGTTGTATTTCAAACAATGCCGGATCGAAACCAAAAAAAAAGGACCCAATTATTTAAAATGAAATAACGACTTAATGTAGGGGAGATGTCACCTTGGAGTTAATAACAATTGAACCATGCTATAAATACTTAAAAAATTATTATTTTTTCAATTTACACTAAAACTAATGATGTTTTTCAATTAAAATTCATAGCGTTTCGGTTTAAAAATAAATTATTTGCTTTGGTCTTTGTAGAAATAATTATAGTAAAGAAGCTGTTTTACGATCTTCTAAGAATAGACTAAAATCTTCCAACAGGTAAATGGATTTTCTACCTCACGAGAAGAGAATGTTCTAAAAACGTTCTCTTATTCTATAAGCAACGAAGTATTTTAAGGAAACAACTCACAAGCAGAGTCACTGGAAATAATATGTTACGTTAGTCATGACTTTCATATATAAATACTTTTCTTTAGAAAAATATATGGAATTTAATTACTTTATAAATTTGTCAGGAAGAAATCGTTTTCGTATAAGATTTCAATTTCTTAAGAAATAAATAATTTAATTAATATTGAAATTGAATCATTGATATTATTGTATAATAAAATTAGTTTTCGTTGTAAATAATAATAAACAAACTCCCACGTTTCTGTCATATACAGCAATGGGATTTATAAAAAAAAAACCTTGTAGAAAACGGTCATCGGCCTTTGTTTTCTAATAGGAATTCAAGGTTTCAACAATCCTATTTGGCATCGTTTCTATTCCAAATGCGCTGCATTTCATTCCGAATAGTTCTATAATTCTGTTTCCACAAAAAGCAATGGAAAAAATTTCCAGTCATCGCAAGTGGAAAAGGCACGCAACATTGCGTCACGATGATGACATATAAGTGGGTTTATTTAATTAACATGAACCATGTAGATTTAACACACTGTTGAAACTTTCGTTGGAAAACGCATTAATTCGAACATATGGCATTCTAGATAATAAAGTTCAACGTCTTTTCTCTGTTGGATAGTACTTGTTTTTTTTTATGATTGCAGCTTTTCCGGGTCTACTGTAAATTCGTACCCCGGATTTTCCGGGCCTCAAATATTGCGAGCTGCAGCTACAGTGGCGTAACAACCGATTTTCTTTTGCAAATCAATATTTACATAAATTGCATAACATTGTGAAATGATTCAAATGAAACATTAAGTTTGAATCACTATTAATATTTATAGATAATCATTCCATAATTACAGTATTTTTTCCGTCAAGCAAATATACGGAGAAAAGAAGTCCCGGATTGCGCGCCTGCTACATCATTTATAAAACTTGTGTATATATAATATGTGTATTTTTGAATATGTTTCACTATACGAGTATTTCACTATACAAGTAAAAATCCGGAAATTTTGGAATGGATTAGACTCGCTTCACTGGATAAGTTAATCACTAGTTAAATAATTCAATCATTGCGGTAATCATAGTTTCGAACATGAGTCATTCAGTATTTGTAATGTGACGCAACATATGTCAAGTCATGATATATTTATGAAATCATTAAAACGTTAATAACAAAGTTATTTCTTTGTAGAATACCGATTTGCATTGAATTTATAAATGATTGAAACTTTGGGTTGATTCATAATTCATTTGAAATTTATTATTTAAACTTACTCAAGTTTTTGTAAAATAAATATTATATAATAGTAATTTATATTAAATATTAATTTATTTTGTTATACGTAGAAATTATTGAACATGTGAATTATTATTAAATATTACTCAATATTTTTTTTTCCTGTTTTTACTGTTCTGTTTTAGTGTTATTCTATTTGTCGCTGGTTTGTTTCGTCTTGTTCTCTTGTATGACATTTTATTTTATTCTGTCCTGATATGTCACGTTCTCTGCTGGCGAGTTATGTTTGGTTATGAAATCAGTTAAAAAATAAAAATTATTGACATTTGTAATCATTCTTTTCAGACAATAGTATGAGAATAATATCGTAATTATTCATGTATTGATTATAATTATTAACTTTTTGAAGTGTTCTATTTTTTACTTTGTTAGTTTTGTAAATATATCTACGCCACTGCGTATTTGTCGATCAATAATGCACGGTAACAGCAATAAATAAAGAAAACGAACGCAATAGATGGAAAAACTCGAGCAGGCAGGAATTAAATTCGCGGCGCAGTTGCCGCGATCAATACATGGTTGGTTGCTACGTGGAACCATCTAGATCCTTCGAAAAGTCACGCGAACGAAGACAGAGCTATAGGATTGGTGAGTTGTGCGAGTGAAAAAACAGCTTCCGACGTGTAGCATTTCTAGTGGTGCCTTGCCAAGGGTGGGGCAGAGGTTAAAGTTGGTGGGGGAAGTCTAGTATAAAAGAGCTCTCCAACGACCGCCATGTTGTAGTTTAGTGAGTTTTCATGTGAGGGAGCGATGTCGAGACGCCGAGGACGACCGGGACCCAGTCTAGGACCAGGATCAACCCCAATCCAAACAATATCAAAAAAAAAACACAAAACAATCATTAACAGGATTTGTATAATTTAATCTCAATTATTTTATGATTTCGTTACTAACTCGTAAAGTCAAAATTCTGCTTCTCAAGCAACGTAACAAATTTTTGTTTATTCTTTTTTTTGTTTATAAATAATTGTTGCACTGGTCGCTGGGGCGCTGGCCACGTTCTCGGCGTAAACGTGCATTTTTTTCACGCAAAACCATAGCATATAAATCAATTATCTTATTATTTTTAATTGATATCTCATATATATATATAAATATATTTTTATTTTTGATTCAATCTCTATTATTACTAATAATTTATTTCTCTTATTTTTGTTTTGTTGTTGTACAACAATTTGTTCGTTCAATTTCCAGAATGTGCCGTAAATATCGTCGATCGCATAAAATTACTACTATCGTGTGTGTCGTACTGCGACCCGCACCCCCACCCAGGGCCCGTTGCCCGGGTCGAGCTCTAATCAATCAATAATCTGTCACAGGCACAGCGCCATCTATGAACGATAACCGAACAAACAAAAAAAAAACAAACCAAGTTAAATTGAATCGAATAGAACGAAAAACGCAAACACTGAAAATTGCAGTTTAACTAAAAAAAAAAACAAACAAACAAATATGGGGGATTATCTTGGGCATCCTCGGATGCGTAAGCACACAAAAACCGTAAATCGATCAAATAGCTGACGAGTCGGAAGGGCGTGTAAGCCGTGATCATCACTCGATGACGCAAGAGATGTGCGCATGCTCATCTATGGTGGTTTGTGGTGGTGAAGATGCTGAGGGAATCAATCGATTTTGTTGCCCTTCGTGCACAATCTCGGGGGTCAACCGGAATACAAAATCTAGGGTGCGCAGCCGCCACCGCCAAACATTGATCTTCAATTATTTTTTTTATTATTATTTTTGAATTTATATGACAATTACTAATAGAAATATATATATTTGAAATACCTCTAGATACCATTAATTATATTTAAAGCAATTAAGTAACCGAAAACTAGTTTTCACTCTTTTGTTTACTTTTTTTTTCTCTCCAAATACTTTATATAACAATAGTGATTATAATATGAACTTATTTTTTTCCTCCCTAAGTAATTTAGCTTTAGTGCGCCCTGATGATGATTATTATACATATATACAAATATTGAAAAATATAAATATACATTATTATTTATTATTTTTTTCCTTCTAATTACTTACTTTTTAACAGATTTCACTTGCAGGAAAACAACTATATTTCAATTACTAGCTTATCGAATTGCACTCAAATTTGTAACATTACCAAGTTGTGCATGCATCCAAATGCAATTGCAATGAGAAATTTTTATTAATAAAAAAAAAAAATCAACAACAACTACAACCACTTCACACTTACATTTTCAACGCCGTTCACTGAACCGCCGTTGTTGTTCATGATCTTGTGAATCAGCCTTCCAGTTTCGTTAGCCTGCAACAAAGTTTAATGTAAAGAGAATGCCGTGGATTCTAACACGCGCGCATCCCTTACTGTGGGTTTCTCTTAAACTAAACACAAATGAACATCTCGAGATAAGGCACCGAACTTGTAATGAAATTTCAATGAGGATTTGCAAATTCAAATCAAAAAACAGATTCAATTTAAGTCAAATTGATATTAGATACAAGTAAGTACAAATTTAATTTTAGTTTAATCATTTTCTTTTTGCTAGACGAAACAATATTTATAATATACCACACGAATAATTATTATTATTATTACTATTGCCCTAATAATATGTTTTGTACTCTTTACTTTTGTTTTCAGTATCACTTGTTTATTTTGATTGTTTCTCTTGTCTAGATTGGTCAGTTCAATTAATCTATTGCCTTTTTATTTTGTTTTTTTTTTTAATTACTAACATGAAATTTTACAACGCGCCTACCAACCACAACCCACTTAGTATTACCATACATCTTTTGGGGATATATTTTCCAATTGCAGATCAAAGCAGGCGAAGTATCTGGGCCATCTGTAATTAATTTTATTTAATTAAGACGCACTTCGGCTCTATATTTTAATATATATATATTCAATCATATATATATATATAAATGCAAACACACTTTCTTTTTTTTCCCTCCATTCTAGTATTAAGAGCGGGAGCATTGATGCGATTTTCAAATGAAGGTTTAATGCAAACCTCTCATTTAGCATTCAGAACTAAGGTATTTATGATCTTTTATATTTAGAATCCTATGACATTTAGTTTTTAGCTACAGCGGAATTATCTTTTAAGCATACTTCTCTATCTGTGAGAATGAAGTTTAAAAAGCAAAAATAATACGGCGATTTTTTTTTTCAAAGGTAATATCTTTTGCCCATGCGTTTAGAATCGTAGGCTAAGATTAAACAGAGAATTGAGAAGTATTTTCACTGCGGATTAGCTCCTAAGTGACAACGAAAATATATATTTGCGATGAAATTTACAATAAGTTTAACAGTCGAAACTGTTCTGCAAACAATATAAAACTGAAAAATTGTTGATTATGTTTATAAAACAT